TCAGCCTTCCATCCTTCCGAGGTGGGTGAAATGAGGACCCAGACTGTGGGGGCGATATGCTGACTCTGTAAACCGCTTAGAGAGGGCTGAAAGCCCTGTGAAGTGGTATATAAGTCTAACTGCTAAATTGGACAGAGAATTAACTTGCTACCAGCTAACAGGTTAAGTCCTGTAAATTCCAACTCACTACAGATAGTCCTTGATTTACGACCACAATTGAGCCCAGCATATCTGTGGCTAAGCAAGACAGTTGAGTTTTGCCCCCTTTCATGATCTTTCTTGCCACAGTTGGCCATGGAAATTTGAGGCTGCATTGTAGTTGTAATTGGACTACCTATAACCGTGATGATGAATCTAGGGCACGCAGAGCCCTCTCTGTGGGCATGCATGCCATTGCCAGCTGCTCTTCTGGTTTCCGGTCTTCGTGGGTGCCGGAGTGCCTGAAAACAGCCCGAAAAATGGCCAAAACTGGCAAAAAAAAACCAGGCTGTTTTCCAGGCCATTTTCCGACTGGTTTTAGTCTGAGAAATGCCCCCAAAACGGCCTGAAAAAGGCCAGAAAATGGCTGGGAAAACGGCCAGAAAACAAGCATGTGCATGCCAGCCAGCTAGTCCTCAGGTTCCCAGTGCTCCGGCATGTGTATGCGCACCAATGCATGTGCGTTCCAATTTGGGCACTCACGCCAAAACAATTTGCCATCACTGACCTATAGGTTGAGTTTCACCAGAGTGGTGCGATGGCCTAGAGGTGGAGATCTCGCCTCACAATCAGGGGGCTGTGAGTTCGATCCTAGGGAGAGGCAGATATTTCTCTTTCTGGGCACACTTGAGAATGTATCTGCCGAACAAAACTCCGCATCGGCAACAGGAAAGGGCATCCGGCCATGAAAACACTCCGCTAGCTCCATTCAGTTGCCCAGACTCCACCCCACAAGGAATTATGGGGTCGTTAAAGGATGATGATAAGTGGAGTTTCAGCGACGATAAGTTGGCGTATAACCAATGTTCGGAACGTAAACTCCTATTGACAAACCTGGTTGCGTTTAAACTTCCTGCGGGGAAGCGAGATTTTTATCTCCATGTTATTCTCTGTTTTTAAAACCCAGATTTGGATTTTTAAAAAATTCCTACAGCTCATTGCAGTGGTCAGTCAATGAAGCCTCTCCCTTCCCACACCTGCTTTCATTTTGTGTGTTTTCAGCTGGTGTCAAATTCAGAGTTCTGGAGCAGGAAACTGGGATACCTCTTCGACTTCTGATGCAGGTAAACCCTCGTTCTTTTTTTCTGATTTCTTTGGGGAACGTGCTCATATTCAGAATACCTTGCAACTCTCTCCTACCGTCGACACATCCTCAATGCTTCATTTACTATTACTAATATCCTAGTAATATGAGCTCTCGTGGCAGGGTGGTTAAAATGCAGTATTGGAGGCTAACTCTGCCGACTGCCAGCAGTTCAACCGGCTCAAAGTTGACTCAGCCTTCCATCCTTCCGAGGTGGGTAAAATGAGGACCCAGATAGTTGGGGGCAAGGGGCTGATCCCGTAAACTGCTCAGGGCTGTAAAGCACTGATATATAAGTCTTAAATGCTACTGCTATGTCTTATCCTTCTGAGGTCCAACAGAATAATCATGGAAGGATGGTTGTGTTGTTCCCATTGAGTAGGGCCATCACAATTGCACTGTAAGAATTTGCCTGACCATTAGGTGGCAGCAGAGAGCCAGCAATTGTGGGGAATTCTGGGAGTTGAAGTCCACCCATTAGTTCAATTTGCCAAGGATGAGAAGCGCTGCCTTAATCTCAAGATATTGTATCAATCAGAGATGGTATTCGGCAGGTTCTGACTAGTTCTGGAGAACCGGTAGCGGAAATTTTGAGTANATAACACTGGAACGCCTCAAGCAATTTCAACCAAACTTGGTACACAGACGACTTACTCTCTGGAAACAAATACTCTGGGGGTAAGACATCCCTAACATCCCTTGGGTTGTGTCCGTGTCTGTGTGTGTTCCACCATAACTCTGGAATGCCTGGGCCGCAGAAACAAAAAGGAATGAATTATACCTAAAGTGTCAAGTCGCAGTACTTTTGACAGCGATAGTGTGCATTTTGGATTCAAGTTGGTTTGTGTGCATGTGTGTGTGTTCCAGAATAACTCTGGAACACCTGGGCCGCTGAAATGAAAAGGAATCAATTATATCTTTAGTGAATTACTTTGACTTGACGCTACAGATATAATTCATTCCTTTTCTGGTCTAATACAGGATTAGGATAAATAAATACTTGGGCAACGGCAGGTTATCATAAATGGCTCTTGTGATCTGCTATCACCAGAGCAAGGGATGGGAGGTGTGGGGGGATGATTTTGTTATTTTATGCTATATTAATTTATTTGAGTCCTTTTGTTTTTTTTTATTGTTGTAAATGTGGTTTTATATTCTGTAAGCTGCCTCAAGTCGCCATAGGCGAATAGGCGGCAATATAAATCCAATAAATAAATAAAATAAACAAACAAATCAGAATAAAACCGATAAAAGGTCCAAGATGTTTCTCCGTTCAGCAACTCCTCCACCCAAGAAATGTTTGGATTCCTCCTGCTTGCCCCAAAGGTGTTTTTTGAAAAGGCCGCTGGACTTTGTTCTTCCTTGAAGATGTTTAGCTTCTCATCTTTCTCATCCGAGAACTGAAGAAGCTTCATGGATGAGAAGCTAAATGACTTCAAGGAAAAACAAAGTCCGGCGGCCTTTTCCAAAACCGCCTTTGGGAGAACCGTGACCTACATGATAGAGAATCTCCACAGGCATTCCTCCCACTTGCTTATCCCAAATTCTTTAGTACAAGTCTCGCTTTAGAAATCTGGAATTGGCCAAATAATAACTATAAATTAACTATAACTATAAAAAAACTATAAATTATAGTTTTACTCACATCCTGGTTGCCGGGGTGTAAAATGATGTGCTTCCTTCCAGAGATTTGGGACATTTCTTCCTCCCCTGCCAACAAACAATAACCCTGCAGATCTAAATTCCCACCAGTTCTGTCAGAGGTGAATTAATGTGGCTGGTGGCAGCTGTTGTTTAATTAAGAAGCAGCCCTTTGAAATCATCCATCAAGAGTCTGGACAGCCTGGAGAAGGCATTTGAGTCAGCAGCCTTCCTTTCATGCTGAAATATATTCAAATTATTGTAACAATTTCTCAATTGGTATCTATCAATCATCTCTCTCCCCCCCCTCCCTCCCTCCCTTCCTCCGTCCATCCAACGATCCATCCATCCATCCATCCATCCATCCATCTATCTATATCTACACACACATACATATACAAACATATATATATATATACTGTGTATATGTGTGTGTATACACACACATACAGTACACAGTATACACACACTCACACACTGGTATATATAAATACACACACACATATATATAGTCTATATCTCTCTGCCTATCACCTATCCCCTTTCTACACTCTATGTCTGTCTGTCTGTCTTTCTGTCATCTATCTGTCTGCCAATATCCATCTATCTGTCTACCTATCTGCCTATCATATATAACTGTCTGCCTCTCTGTCATCTATGTATATCTATTTACCATCTGTTTCTCCTCTGTGTGTCTATTATCTCTGTCTCAATCATATATCTCTGTCTCTCTTTCTACACTCTATGTCTATCTTTATCTTATCTGAGTCCCCCTTCGGGGGAAAAGGGTGGCATACAAATGAAATAAACATTCAAACATTCTTTATATTATCTATCTATCTATCTATCTATCTATCTATCTATCTATCTANCTGCCATGCCCACCAAGCCACACCCACAGAACCAGTAGTAAAAAAAATTGAATCCTACCACTGGCAATAGATGGGTATAATATTTAATTAAACAAGTCGTGTATGTTACTAAACTCAATACAGATATTTGTCCTCTTACCTGTTTTACACTGAGGGCATCATATTAACAAGTCCATGTCTACAGGGTTGGTGGCCCTGTCAAATTGAACAGATATTTCCTTGGAAAAACATTCTGCTGTGTTTCCTGATGTGAAATCGGGCCGGAAAATAAATCTACAAAACATGCATTGGCTTTCAAACCTGACATCTTTAAAAAGACGCTGTGTGTGCACAAAAACGTTTCATTATTTCAAAGACAGGGAGGAGATATTTTATTGGGTCTAGTGGCCTTCTGTGAAATCGCCCGGAAGCCATTTCCAGATTTCAGTGCCGTTTGACCAGAGTGCCAGTGGAAAGCCACTTGTCCGGATAAATTATTAGATTACACGCGCTGGGAGAGGCAGGAACAAACAGGTCTGGCCGCATTAAATTTTGGATTGCGTTCAGTTTGAGTACGGTTCAATTCTCAGATGCTGAGCCAAGATTATATGGAAGTGGTTTGCTGGATCAGGGCCAGAAAATATACCATATTGGGGGTGAGGGGGTGGGTTGCAAACAGAGTAAACATTTCAGTTGCGTAGAAATATTAACCTGCTGAGTGCCTTGTCCTCAAAGGAAGACTCTTTGGGCTGGTTTTAGTAAACTCCCATCTCTAAAAATCACACTCTTTATCTCTGACACATGTAGAGTTTCTTCCTTGTGGAGTTATAATATGAGATTTACTTGGGTTACTATTTTTATTTGTGCATTTTTATTGTGACGTCCAGTGGTGGGATTCAGCCAGTTCGCACCTATTTGGGAGATCTAGTTGTTAACTTTCTAAGCAGTTGGGAGAACCGGTTGTAGGAAGAAATATCCTTTTGTTTTTTGCCACTCTAGAGGGCTCATCCTGTAAGGAAGGCAGGAAGGAAGGAAACATTCTGGTGTTGTTTCTAGCCTNTAGTTTGACTCCCTCTTCTTTGTGGCAACCCCTGAGATATTGGAACACTGCTATTATGTCTCCCCTAGTCCTTCTTTTCATTAAACTAGACATACTCAGTACCTGCAACCCTTCTTGAGAGGCTGTGACAGAGAAGAGGGGATTGACTTGTTTTCCAAAGCATCTGAGATCAGGATGAGAAGTAATGGGTGGAAGCTAGTTAAAGAGAGATCCCACTTAGAAGAGAAATTTTCTGACAGCAAGTGACACGCTCACGTCATCCCTTTTTACGACCTTCTGACAAGCAAAATCAATGGGGTAACCAGCTTCGCTTAACAACCATGTTACTCACTTATGCGATTTGCTTTAACCACTGTGGCGAGAAAGATTGTAAAATGGGGCAACGGGCCCAATTCACTCAATGGCAAAGGAAACTTGGGGCTCATTTCTGGTTGTAAGTCAAGGACGACCTGCATTATTACGAATGTCCGGTGGTTTTGCACCAACACTGAGCGCTTCTGCACCCAAGACGAATTCCTTGCGCGTCTAATCGCCTCTGGGCCAAAGAAAGTATTCCATTCAGTTTTATCAGGGTGGGGATTCAGTGCTTTTCCTTGTTGTTCCCAATCCCCAGCTGTAGGATGGAGCATTGTCATAAGAATAGGTCCTCCTTCGGTAAGCTGCGAGGTTAGAGACACCGGTGTGAAGGGTGGGCCCAGTTTGTGTCCTGCTGCAGTGAAAATAAATTGTGCCATGCAGATGTCTTTCACTGACAGTGTCCTTGCATTTTGGCTCCAGATACCAGACTGCAGATTTCATTTTTTTTCCATATTACAGAGTGCTGCAGTGTTGGGGGGGAGGGAGGGGGGAGGAACAGCCCAGCTGGGTTTTGACCCAGTTTTAAATCGACTATCCCAGCCCAGCCATTCTTCTGGGACCATCGGAGGAGCAGGGGTGGATGCAACTTGGCTTTCCCCCGCAACCCTTTCTGTGTGCATCCCCCACCGGAAGAATATATTTTAAAATACTTTAGTATTGAAAGTATTTAAAATGCTTCATAATAATACTTTATAATGCCACCTTATAATGCCTTGGTAAGGCCACACTTGGAATACTACATTCAGTTTTGGTTGCCACGATGTAAAAAAGATGTGGAGACTCTAGAAAGAGTGCAGAGAAGAGCAACAAAGATGATTAGGGGACTGGAGGCTANTTTCTGTCTCCATCTCTTTCTTTCTCTTTTTCTCTCTTTTTTCTCTCTCTTCTTTCTCTCTTTTTCTCTTCTCTCTGTCTCTCTCTCCTTTCTCTTTTTCTTTCTTTCACTCTTCTCTCTATCTGTCTGTTTCTTTCACTCTCTCTCTCTCTCTTCTCTGCCTCCTCCCCCCCTCTCTTTTTCTCTCTCTCTCTTTTCTGCATTTTTTGTGCTTCTTGCTCTCCCCTGCTCCCTTCTGCCTTACATCACTGAGAGCATTATCCGTTACAGCCTTTTCTTCTACAATCCCATAGCTGTCTTCAGAAAAGCTTTTGGCAAGAAGGAGAAGGCTTGGGCAGAGGGAAACAGTGAAAGAAGATGATCCCAGCTAGACAGCTGCTCTTTTAATTTTTTCTTTTGTCAATACCCACCACGAGCTGATGTTGTTTTAAGGGCTAGATAATTTGGGCCCCTGGCTTATGTGGAACTGGCAGGAGTGTCTTCCAGCATTCCTAGCATGTCTTTGTGGCATTCTTTCCACCAACAATGAATATATAACATCCCAAAACAGAGCATTCCTCACATGTTATCATATCTGAGCCCAAAATGGAACTATGGCTCATCCTTCTTCTCCATAAACATGCCAATACAATAGTTTCCGGGTGTGTATCATATTTTTTTTCCCCACATGGATGTTTTTCTCGTTCAGAGAATGGCAGAACCTAATCTCCAGAATCTGCAGAGCACAAAGCTTTTGATAAGTTGACTTCGCCCTGAGTGATCAAGCTGTACATTTTGGCAATGCTTTGATAGGGGCGGGGTGGCACCTTGAGGAGGGGGGAGAAAGGAAGGATTTCGGTACATAATAAACCTAGAAGACAACCTAACCTTGATTGTTTCTGCTTTTCCCCCCCAAAAAATGAAGCCACCAAAATGAGGGGAGGTTCAAGTGACTTTCAGTCTCTTTCTTCTTCTTCTTCTTCTTCTTCTTCTTCTTCTTCTTCTTCTTCTTCTTCTTCTTCTTCTTCTTCTTCTTCTTCTTCTTCTTCNATCTTTATTGCCCTGCTTACAGAAACTGCCTCTCCGGTTAACCCTTATTACGTGCTAACAGCTAAGGCGAAGCGCCCATCGACCTGACTGACGTTGAGTTGGCCACACCCACCCGGTCACATGACCACCGAGCCACGCCTACCCAGCTGGTCATTAGGGCAGAGAACAGGTTGTTAAATTCTTTGAATCCCACCACTGGTGATGTCATTTGGGCTTCTTATTCTAAGAGTAGGAAGATGAATCATCCAACTGTTAAGAAAAATATCTTCATTTTAAAGGCTGGCTTAGAAGCAGATTCCCCAAAACAGATTCCCCTTTATATAGGAAAGGCACAACCACAACCGCATCTCTTGATCGATCTGCACAAGCTGCATTGTGATTGTGTCGTACCAGCAGTCCTCGACTTACGACCGCAGTTCAGCCCAAAATTTCTGCCGCTAAGGGAGAATTTTGCCCCGCTTTACTACCTTTTCTTGAGGCAGTTGTTTGAGTGAACCCCTGCCATGATTCAGCGAAGTGAATTGCCGCAGCCGTTAAGTGAGTGGCACGGTTGTTAAGTGAATCTGGCTTTCCCATTGACTTTGCTGGGCAGAAAGCCACAAAAAGTGACCCTGGGACACTGCAGAATTTGAGTCAGTTCTCCAGTGTCTGAATTTGGACTGTGTGGACACGGGGATACTGCCATGGGTCGTGTAAAAAGCGATCACAAGTCACTTTTTTCACTTTTGCCGTTGTAACTTCAAACGGCTGTTGTAAGTCGAGGACTCCCTGTACACCCTTTGACCTGCTCCTGATTTACTCACTCTGAATCTCTTTTCCCACATCTTCTCAACCTGCCAGATCAACCCTCTCGCTTACGGCCGCGTGGTACAGATCTATAGGCTTCCAACCTACAGCGGCTACCCAAAAGACTCCTGGGCTTCTGTGTGCAAGAAGTTGTTCGTCGGAGAGCTCATTTACCCTTGGAAGCACAAGGAGGAGAAGCAAGACTGATTGGGGGGCACGGGATAACCAGGAGTAACTCCAAAGACTTACTCAGAACCTATCAGGGTTGGGAGCAGCTCTTGGCTGACTAAACCTTGTTGCAACTTCCGTTGTCAAGAACTTGAGGGTAAGACTAACCTAGGCTTCCCCAAATCACAAAGTTGGGATTCCTTGTCCCGACAAAACCCCTTTTTATTAAGCTAACCTGAATTCCTCTCATTCACATCCAGCAAAGTCCCAGCAAACAGTCTTTCAAGGGTGAATTTACGACCACAGACCTTATCAGACTTGGAGAGCAGCCAGGCCGATATCTTCCAAACGCCATGCTGTACAAGGAAATACTTGGCAAGGGGTCTCTAAGAGTCACGAACAAATCTTCACACTAATTAAATGAACAAATGATCTACCGCAAACTCCACTCCCCTTTTGCTCCTCTTTTATTCCTTATGGGAGGGGCCATTCACCGTCCACCTGTGGTCTTACTCCCAAGTCAACCCCTGTTCTTTAGCTGTTCCTTTGGTCTGGCAACTCTGTGCATGCGCACACTGGGAACAGGCTCCAGCTGCTCGTCTGCCTCACTGATGTCTGACTCCGAAGGCAGCTGATAACTGTCGGACAGCCAATGCAGAGCCCTCATCAGAGCCTTCCTCCATCTCCAGGACTGGCCCATGTTCCTCCCCAACCTCCTCACTGTCTGGCGGGCCACATCACCTACGGAGTCAATGAATTCCTCACTCGGCTGCCACCACCAAGCTGTCCTTTCTGGTCACGTCATCTGATGTAACTTGCCATTAGGACTGCTTCTATGTGGAAACACCGGAATACAGAATTGCCGGCTATTCTTTTCGAGGGTTTGGGGGGCCTCTTGGCGATTCTGCGTGCAGTTCCGTTTCTCAAGAGCCTCTTCCTGCCCTGCACTGACATCCCGTTTTCTGCTGCTCCTTCTGTAAAGGTGTAGCTGCACGCCTAAGAGCCGTGTTTCCCAACCTCAGTGAGTTGAAGACAAGTGGACTTAAACTCCCAGAATTCCCCAGCCAACTAGGTTGGGAAAAAATACTGCATTGTGGGAACAAGGCTTGGACGTCAACACTCGGAGAAAAACTTGGTGTTTGCAATCACAGACACAGAAACTTCCTGTGGCAAGGTTTTAGGGCAGGGATCCCCAACCCCTAGGCCATGATTTTAACGCCCCCTAGAGTTGGGAATGACTAGCACATATGTGCAAGGGGAACCTTTACCTTTTATTTTGGCTAATTGGATGCCCTCTATGTGTGTTGAGCCTAAGCAAAAAAGGATGGGAAATGCAATTTCCCTGCGTGTAAAAGCCATGTCGGTGGTCCAGGCCAGGAGTAAGACTCCCAAAAGATTCCTAGCTATTCATCCTCTTCAAACTCTCCTTGACGAAAACTAGAATTCACCGCCAATTGTGCATCAGTTGGTGTTTATTTTAAAAACTGGTTTTAAGCCCGCCCGCCTGCCCGTTAATTATATGTCATAGATAAGATGCACCTTTCCTTTGAACCTCTCCTGGTGGGGGAGGGGGACGGATCTGGATTTGGTGTCTTTGCTTAATGGGGCAATCATAATTAGCTTTATCACACCATTGCACTTATGTGCACCTTGACGTAGAGAAAAAAAAAAGATTAATAGTCAAGTGTCTGAAGTCTGCATCTGATGCAGTGGTGAAATCTATTTTTTTTTTACACTGGTTCTGTGGGCGTGGCTTGGTGTAGGGGTGTGTCATATGACTGGGTGGCCGTGGCCAACTTTTTTTCACCTTTTAAAGCAATTTTTTCTTGCCAGTTCGGGGGAATAGGCAGGAAAAAAATGCTTTAAAAAGCGGGGGGAAAGCTTCCGACAATTGTGAGCCACACAATCCTTGGAATTTTTTTTTTTTACTACCAGTTCACAGAACCAACGGTCATCCCTACCGGTTTGGCCGAACCGGGCCAAGGAGGATTTCACCCCTGATTAATTTGGTTCCTTCAAAATTAATTTTATGTCCTGTACCTTTAAGATGCTGGAAAAGGGAGGAAGTTTTTTCTTTTTTTCTTACTGTGTTCTGCGATGCGTGCATTTATTCTCCTGTTTGTTTGTCCTATGTATGTTGCAGGGCAGATTTTGCATGNTCTTTCTCTCTGTCTCTCTCTTTATCTGTCTGACTCTCTCTGTGTGTCTGTCTCTCTCTCTGTCTGTTTTTCTCTTGCTCTCTCACTCTCTCTGTCTCTCTGTGTAGTGTATATCTCTCTCTTTGTCTGTCTGTTTCTCTCTGTTTCTCTGTTTGAGTATGTGCGTGTCTCTTTTTCTGTCTGTCTGTCTGTCTCTCTCTCACTCTCTCACTCTCTCTGTCTCTCTGTGTGAGTGTGTATCTCTCTTTGTCTGTTTCTGTTTCTCTGTTTGAGTATGTGTGTGTCTCTTTTTCTGTCTGTCTGTCTGTCTGTCTGTGTCTCTCTCTCACTCTCTCTGTCTCTGTGTGAGTGTGTATCTCTCTTTGTCTGTCTGTTTCTCTCTGTTTCTCTGTTTGAGTATGTGTGTGTCTCTTTTTCTGTCTGTCTGTCTGTCTCTCTCTCTGTCTCTCACATTTTCTGTCTCTGTCTCTCTGTTTTTCTGTCTGTCTGTCTGTCTGTCTCTGTCTCTCTCTCTCTTTTTGTGTGTTTGTGTGTGTGTTGTGGGGACATTGCCTAAGCAATTTTTTACCTTGCAGAATTTGAAGTCACTGGGAGGACTATGAGAAGAAGAAGCAGGCATCCCTTGAATATGTGTGCCTATGTCGGTGTGTCTGTGTTAAATTAAGAATTGCTACGAGAGAAATGGTTTGACTGGAAATGGTGCTTTAATCTGGTGTTTTTTGTTTTTTTTTGTCCTTCTGCATCAAGAGACGGAAAGCATCCAGATCACAAAAAAGGTGATAATGCTGCTTTTATACATCACTAGTAAGGCCACACTTGGAATACAGCCTCCAGTTCTCGTCCCCACCGTACCAAAAAAAAAAGAAGATATGGAGACCCTAGAAAGAGTGCAGAGAAAAGCAACGGAGATGATAGGGGGTCTGGGGGCTAAACCATATGATGAGGTGTTGAGGGTAGGTCTAGCCTAAAAAGTGAGAGGGGGTAGGGGGGATCATGCTAACAGTCTTCCAGTACTTATGCAATAATTCAATAGCAGAGTTGGAAGGGACCCTGGAGGTCTTCTAGTCCAACTCCCTGCCTAGGCAGGAAACCTTATACCGTTTCAGACAAATGGCTATCCAACATCTTAAAGGCTTCCAGTGTTGGGGCATTCACAACTTCTGGAGGCAACTTCTGTTCCACTGATTAATTATTCTCACAATCAGGAAATTTCTCCTCAGTTCTAAGTTGCTTCTCTCCTTGTTTAGTTTCCACCCATTGCTTCTTGTTTTGCCCTCAGGTGCTTTGGAGAATAGTTTGACTCCCTCTTCTTTGTGGCANTATATATAATTATATAATTTATTTTAAGGGCTATTACTGACCTGACCTAGATTTTTACATGTAGTCCCCAACTTACAACCATTCATTTAGTAACTGTTTCAACATCTCTGAAAAAATGGCCATTTTTTTTTCAGACTTATGACTGTTGCAGCATTCCCGTGGTCGTTGATCAAAATTCGGACACTTGGCAACTGCCTCATGTTCATGACGGTTGCAGTGTCCTGGGGTCACATGATCCCCTTTTGCGACAAGCAAAAGACAATGGGGAAGTCATATTCACTTAACAACCAGGGCAAGAAAGGTCGTAAAATGGGGCAAAGCTCACCCAACAAATGTCTCCCTTAGGAGCATATATTTTGGGGTCGATTGTGGTTGTAAGCCGAGGGCTCCCTGTATTTGTTGTGGTGGGCCAATTTTGAGTGCTCTGATGTCTTACTTTCTACTTTAGTTTATCAAGCCTTTGTGCGTAATCCTCCTTGCAAGCCAGAGAGGAAGCTACCTGGCTTCACAGTATAGCTGCGATCTCTTTCTGTCTGTCTCTCTGTGTTTGTTGGGCACAGAGGTTTGAGTTCAGATCTTACTCCAGCTTCTTACACCATCCTGTCTCTTGCAAAATCTATCTATCTAATATATATATATTCTGTTAAAATACAGCCTGTTGTGCCTTGAAATGGCTTCTACTGTACTTCTGTAAAATGGATTCTACTGTACAGTGCTGTGGAGTTGCCATGGTAATGGCTTCACAGTATTCCACAAGGGGGTTCCCTCTGGTAAGGGGGAGATATCCAACATTAGAAGTTACTTTTGGTCCGGGATTATTTTCGAGGACAAATGTATGGATTAGGAGAAATAAAATAGCTAGGCAACGCTGGGTTTATCGGCTAGTACTTTCTAAAAAATGCACAATGCTTCTGAAGTCCCCACACGCTTCCAAATTTGGGAAGAAGAGGAAAAAATAGAGACGGCAACGTCCTCCTCCGTTCATCCTTCTGCGGTCCTTGGGTCTCTCAAGGACAGTCTCCCCCACCCACCTACCCCACCCCCAGTGTTCTGTCAATGGAGCCCTTTTTGGACGTTCAACATTCAACGTGACATCCGATCAACTCAATGGCTGCTGAGCTGCTGAGGGGCTTAAGCTAAAGACTTCCACGGAGGCGTGAAAAGGAGTTTGTTGTTGTCTTTTTTTTCAACGTCACTCCTGGGCCAGATGAAGAGGAGGCTTTCTTCCCAGGCAAGCAGAGAGGGTCTAAAGTATTATTTGGCTTTTCACAGTTCACCGAGCTGCTCCATCTTGGCTGACAGATCGGAGTTCATTGTCCTGATGTTTTTCTAGCAACTGCTGGAGAGAGAGGAAGGGGGCTGAGAAAATTAGTGTTGCCCGTAAGATAACAACGGGAGCTCAGGGGAGGGGGGAGGGGGGCTGCAAATGTCCAGAGTTAAGAGAGATTGGAACTTCTCAGCTGGGCGTGGAAAACGTCTACCCGACAACTTCCCAATGAGTGTCTTTATTTTTGTAAAGTGGGGGGTTATTTCTTTTTTTACAAACGATTTCCCCCTTCCCTTCCTTTCCCTCTCTTCGCCTTGTCCTCCCTTCTCCTCCTCTTCCATCCCTTTCCCCATCCATTCACCTCCCTCCTCTCCCCTTTCCTTCCCTCTATTCCCCTTCTTCCCCTTCCCCTCCTCTTCCCTCCCCTCCCCATCCATTCCCCTCCCTCTCCCTCCTTTTCCCTCCCCACCTCTTTCCAATCTATTCACCTCCCTCTCCTTCCCCACCTTTCCTTTTTTCCCCTCCCCTTCCCCCTCCATTCATGTCCCTCTCCCTCCTCCCCTTCCCTCTATTCACTTTCTCCTCCTCCTCCCTCCTCTCCCCATCTAGTAATCTTTCTCCCCCTCCCCACATCTCCTGTACCATACCCCTTTCCTCCCCTCCCCTTCCCATCCCCATTCATCTCTCTCCCCTTCCCTCCCCTTCCCAATCCATTCACCTCCCCTCCCCTTTCTTTCCCTCTATCCACCTTCTTCCCCTCCTCTTCTCTCCCCTCCCCATACATTCACCTCCCTCTTCCTCTTCTCCCCTCCCCACCTCTTTCCAATCTCTTCACCACCCTCTCCTTCCCCACCTCTCCTCTTCCTTGCCCACCTTTCCTCCCCTCCCCTTCCCCATCCATTCACGTCCCTCTTCCTCCTCCTCCTCTTTCTCCCTCCTCTCCCCATCCAGTCACCTCTCTCCCCCTCCCCACATCTCCTCTACCTTATCCCTTTCCTCCCCTCCCCTTCCCATCCCCATTCATCTCCCTCCTCTTCCCTCCCCTCCCCATTATTCCCCTTCTTCCCCTCTCCCTCCTCTTCCCTCCCCTCCCCATCCATTCACCTCCCTCCTCTCCCTCCCCTCCCCTTTCCTTCCCTCTATCCACCTTCTTCCCCTCCTCTTCCCTCCCCTCCCCATCCATTCACCTCCCTCTCCCTCCTCTTCCCTCCCCACCTCTTTCCAATCTATTCACCTCCCACTCCTTCCCTACTTCTCCTCTTCCTTGCCCACCTTTCCTACCCTCCCTTCCCCATCCATTCATGTCCCTCTCCCTCCTCCCCTTCCTTCTATTCACCTTCCTCTCCCTCCTCCTCTTTCTCCCTCCTCTCCCCATCCAGTCACCTCTCTCCCCCGCCCCACATCTCCTCTACCTTACCCCTCTCCTCCTTTCCCATTCCCATTCACCTCCCTCTCCCTCCTCTTCCCTCCCCTCCCCATCCATTCACCCCCTCCTCTTCCCTTCCCTCCTCTTCCCAATCCATTCACCTCCCTCTCCTTTCCCACCTTTCCTTCCCTCCGCTCCCCTTCCCCATCCATTCCCCTCCCTCTCCCTCCTCTCCTCTCCCCTTTCCTTCCCTCTATTCACCTTCTCCCTCTCCCTCCTCTTTCCCCCCTATCCATTCACGGGTTCCACCACAAATGCGCGAACGACAAAAGCGCGCCTGACTAAACCGCGGTGACAAAACCGCACCGACAAAACCGCGCAACGAAGGAGCGACAAATGAGCCCTGAAGCGCGCCGACAACAGCGCGCCGACAGAAGCGCGCTGTAACCTAACCCTAAACCTAACCCTAAACCTAACCCTAAACCTTACCTTAACTTAAATCACGCTTCTGTCGGTGCGCTGTTGTCGACGCGCTGTTGTCGATGCGCTTTTGACATCGCGGTTTTAGCGCCACGGTTTTGTCGGTGCGCTTATGACGTTCGCGCTTTTGTCGGGTCACGCCATTCACGTCCCTCCCCTCCCCACCTCTCCTCTCCCTTGCCCACCGAACCTTCCCTCCCCTTCCATTCACGTCCCTCTCCTGCCTCCTCTTCCCTTCCCTCTATTCACCACCACCTCCCTATGCTTCCCCATCCCTTCACGCCCCTCTTCCCCTTCCCTCCCCTTCCCTCTATTCACCTTCTTCTCCCTCCCCCTTCCTTCCTCTTCCCCATCCATTCACCTCCCTCCCCTCTCTATTCCCCCCTCCACTTTCCTGACCATTCCCTCCCTCTCCCTTCACTCTCCTCCTGGTTCTAGGTGCATTTTTTAAATGTTTCCCCCACCTTCTCCCTATGCTTTCCCAACCTAGTGACACCTTGCGGGCTACCAAGAGCATTTCTGGCAAAGAATTCCTTGCTTGGATCAAATGTGGATCCAGTTGAGTTGGCTCCATCCCTCAGCTCATTTGAATGCTGTTTGGGGAAAAGGGCCCTGGCCTTCCGTTTGTCCCTTCCATTGCTCAGTCACGGTCTCTCGAATAAGAGAAAGGCAGGATAGGTGCTTTGCATGCAAGGCACAACCGAGCCTTGGCCTCTCCTGGGAAAAGGGTCCCCTAGGCAGGGGGTGTGAAAAGATGCCCTTCCCCAAAGGCTCCGGGGCTAGTCAGGACAGAAAGAGAAACAAAGCAGGCAGATGCCGGAGGAGATGAGTGGTGGACGCCATGGTGACCTCCTGGGTTTCAACGGTGCTCTCCAAACTTGGCAGCTTTTAAGATTTGAGAATGTCAACTCCCAGAATTCCTCAGGCAGCTGTGCTGGGAGTTGAAGTCCACAAGTCTTAAAAGTTGCCAAATTTGGAGAGCTCTGTGTTAGAAGAATATCCATGGAACTTTATGTAAATGGCCATACCAAGGGCCGTTTTCCTGAAGTTTAACAGTGTTGGAAAGGACCTTGTAGGTCACCTAGTCCAACCCCCTGCCCAAGCAAACCCTACACCATTTCGGACAGGTGGCAGTCCAGTCTCTTCTTGAAAGCCTCCAGGGATGAAGCTCCCACAACTTC